CCAGCACCTTCTGGTCCCTGACCATCCTGGCAGGCATCCTGCCCTCCATCTCTCCTCCCTCGTTTCAGCTGACTGGCATTCAGAGGTAGAAATTGCAAATCCAGGCACCCGGGGAGCATGAAGGGTAATGGCACGAAGCCGCCGTTCTCTGTTGGACAGACAGACTTGTTTGCGATGACGTGGGATGTGACAGAGCGGCGGATGGGAGCTGTGGAGTCCCTTGGATTCATCGCTAAGCTGGCTGAACGATGGCAGCTGTGCTGCTCTGCAGGCTGGCAAGGCAGAGCCACCCCTGTTAAAAAGCCACCTCTGTTACACCCCGGAGTCCTGCAGTAACCACAGGTCCTGCCACTGCCCACCCCTTGTCCTGTTCACAAGCAGAACAAGAGATCCCTGTCGAGGCTGAGGACAGGGAAACAGGAAGGATGCTCCATGTCCTGCAGCAAGGACTGATGGAGACAACATCTCCCCTGCCCCACCGCGGTCACCGGGGGCTGCCTGGGGCTCAATGCCTCCCACCACAACCAGTAACCAAGTGACTGGGGCTCCACTGGGACGTTCATCCCAGCCCCAAAAGCAAGGGCTGTAGTGGGAAGGTCTCAGCAGAGGTGGCTGCAGGCGGGGATGACTGGCTGTTAGCACAGGTGGGGTGTGTCTGCGCTTATTAGCGAGGTGTGTGCTCATTAACAAGGCACACAGTCCCAGCTGTCACGCCCCACGCAGCGGTGTTAAAGCAGCCTGTCCCCCAACATCACCTGCTTCTTCCCCCACTGCAGAAGCCCTGTAGGAATGGTTGGGGGGAAGCTGGCATCCAGACTGGTCCTGCAAGAGGAGAAAACTCAGGTAAGCAGCAAAGGTTTGCCTCTGAGCAAAGGAGAGCAGTGCAGGAGAGGGAGGGCAGCTTGGTACAAGCTCATGCCCTGTCTTGGCATGTGAAGGGAGAGCGGTTAGAAGTGGTGGGATCTGGGCTGGTGTTTGGGGAAAAAGTAGCCCAGGACAGTGTCTGGTGCAGGAGCCCCAGTTCCCCATCTTTGTGCCAACCCTGGTTCAGATTAGCGAGGTGAGTTCTCTGTGCAGTCAGCTGGAGTGTTGGCTAGCAGGAGGTATTGCTGTCATCCCCAAACAGGACAGTGGTAGCACCCCCCCATCTTGTTGGGCTTTTCTGTTAAGAACACGTTTCCCTTTCATTTGCTGGTGTGTTTAATGGCAGTTGAGAAACGTGTTGTAGTCCTCTGTAATGGATTTCTCCTTTGCAATTTCCTATCCTTATTGTTTCCTGCTAGAGAGGTGTGGACACAGTGGAGATAAGATCCTTAACTTCTGGGCAGGTCTAGCAGCTGATCACACAGCAGATTACTACAGTGGTCTCTTCCTCATCCCTGCAGCATCTGCTGTAAGGGCACTATTTCTCAAGGATAGCAAAGTGAGTATCAGCAGGAGATTTTTTTTTCCCCCCAACTAGCTCTTTATGATAGAAAAAGTGTAAGAAAGCCTGGTGTCCCTAAACTAATGGGGCGATTTGGACTAAATAGCTTGTGTAAATTTATGCAGGGGAACCTGTGATACAGCCAAGAGCTCCCCAGAGCGCTCCGTAAAGGAGTACAGCTTCTGGAAGAAAACCTTCAACACAGCCAGGAAAAGTTTGCACTGCATGTACCATTTTTATTTTCACATATATATATATTACATCATTTTAAAACAGAATATTTGTGAAAAAAATGGGGGGGTTGGGGGTAAAAGCAGCCCACCATGTTCCACACAGCCCCTTTGCCTGCCGTTTAAGGATGACCTGCGCTGGGGAAAGGCTGGCCTGCAGACAGAGATCTTTCCCCATCTCCCCGCTGCTACTGGGACAACCTGTGGTCTTCCTCTCCTCCTCCCCCTGGCATGAAAAGGTGTGTACCAATCCTTCCCCTCCAGAGTCAGTGCAAAGCATGCTTTATTGCTCCATCATGTACCCTGTTCCCTTCCTGCAGTGCTGGGAGAGACCTGGGGCTTCCTGGGTGGGGAAGGGAGCTGGGAAAGGAGCTGTGTGAAACACCGTGCACTTTGATACCGTGAAAAAGGCAAGGAAGAACCAGAATTAATAGTGATAGTGTGGTTTCAAGTATATGTGTAAAACCCATCACACAGAGCTTCACAGAAGGCTGCCACCAGTCCTGACCGTGAAGAAAGCAGTTTCTCCAGGGCAGCGCTGGCCCCTGCCAGCCTGGACCCCGCAGCACCCAGTGTTTGGCAGGGATGGCTCAGGGTTTGGCTCGCGACGTGAGGAGTGGCTGGAAGGGAGAGGTGGTTCTGACAAACTAATAGCTCAGGCGGATTCCTCCATCCAGAAGGAAAGAGCTGGGAGAGGGTGGGAGTAAAATATGCTCCCAAATAGGCTCAGTAAATGAGACTCTTCTTTCAGAACCTCACCCCTTTTCTATGCACCCATTATTACCTTCAGAATGAAATTCTTCTGCCCGCCCCTCCCAGACACCTCTGCTTGAACCAAGAGTTTTCTGTCTGGACAATTCCCAGTGCTATATTCCCTTAACACCTCTCCTGGGGTAGTCTCTTGCACACAGAAATCCTCACCAAATGTACCTTTTCCTTCCTGTACCCCGTAATACGTAGGGAGCTGGCGGGCAGAGATACAAGAAACCACGGTGAGCTCGTGGCCCTGAGCGAGCTGCCCTGACTTGCATCCACATATGGTTCCTCCAGCCCTGGGGACTGGCACTGCTGCCTGGACAGCCTGCACCCCTCTTTGCTATTTCTGGGGTGCATCTCAGCCTTCACTGGGCACTGTGACACCGAAGCCATCCCACCTGTTGATCCTGGGGCTGGGTGGAGAAGGGAAACAGCACAAGATTTTCTTTGACCCTCTTCCTATCTGCTCCAGGAGTAAGCAGACTAGGCAGGTACTGTTACCAGTGGGTGCAGGTAAGTTGTAAGCATCAGAGGGAGCCAGTCCTTCCTCAGATGCAACCCTGGCTTAGGTCCCTGATGGTAGAAAAATTACATGCTTGCTTAGCAGCCATCCACCAAACCCTACAACGATTTTAGGTAGCCTTGCTTGGAGTGGGGGTGAAACCTTCCTTCCAACCCAAATGATGCAGTGGACAATCCCCTCCTTGTGAACAGCCACGGCAGAGCCTTCTCCTCATCTTTTGCCTTTGTTTTCCAGTTGAAGGCTTCCTGCCCTTGTTTCCCTTGCTCAGAGGAAGAAGCCGAAGCCTCGGGGGCAGTCATGCCCCAGTAGCACCAGTGGCTAGGAAGGTGGCAGCAGGGAGAGCCTGCTATTCAGTGCATCAGATAGACTTGCTTTTGTACAAGGTCCGATATGCGACTGGGTAGGCAGTTAAACAAAGCTTACTGGCTAAAAATACTGTAGCTGATCAGGGCTTTTTCTTTGCAGAATAGTGGCTGATTCAGCCCTGTAAGGGAAGTTTGGGGTTATTCTAAGAATGTAGTTTTATCTAGATCTCTTGCTTCTATAGCAGAGATGTACTTTTGTTTGTTTGTTTTGTTTTGTAAAAATGGCTCCTGGCACTGCCAGCCTGAGAGCCGAAGCCTTCTGCATGTAGTCAAGGTGGCCTGTGGTACCTTGTCCAGGCCCCTGCCCAAACTCTGCCGAGTGGGGCTTCGAGGTAGATACCTGCTGTGGCTCTCTAGAGAAGACCCACCAACCCTACAAAGAGCATCAGCTTCTGGGGAGGGCCAAGCCTTTGCATCTTGGTCTGCTCTGATCCCAGCAAATCTAACCCTGCTGGAGCCTGTTCCTGACCCCTGAAGCACTCGGCACTTTCCCCAACAGCAGTCCAGTACAAACCAGTGACACCTGCCCTTGCTATGGGTCAGAGCACGGCGCGTACCCACAGCTCTGGGTGTGCAGACTCACAGCTGATGGGTACTGAGGTCACCTGGACAAAGAGGGGGACCTGGAAAGGAGGTTTTTCCCTTCCCGTGGGAGCTCAGCCCTGCTCTGCCCTCAGAGCCAGCACCCAGGTGGCTGTGCCTGCAGTGCTGTTGCCATCCAGTGACAGGACACAGTACTACAGACCAGACACCCATTCACAGTCCCAGTTGAAGCTTTTTTCCACTTAGTAACCAGTGTCAGGAGGCTGGGAGAGGTGAGAGCAGGTGGAGACAATATGCTGACATCCTGAGACAATCCTCCCTGCAAATCCCCTGAGAAAACGGATAAAATGGAAACTTGCCTTTGCTACAGCACCTATTTTAAAATTTCTCTTCTCTGTCCTGATATCACAGACTTTTCTAAGGCTTCATCATCTACCATAAAGCTGAAAAATGTTCTTTTTTTTTTTTTTTTTTTTTGCTGGCCTTACAGCTGAATTTGGCTTGCAAGGTGGAACACTTTATCTGGAAGATGATAATAAATTACAAGCAACGTGGCTTTTTGTACAAGCAAAAGTTTTCTCCAATCTATTAGAGTTCTTGGAGTGTGTTGGTGAAGTAGTGAATAAAAGTTGATGTACTGTTTTCTTGCCAAGGTCCTCTGAAAAAGTCCTGATGCAGACACAACCAAGCCAGAGAACTAGCTTAGAGTACAGTGACAGGTTAATAATGTGGCTGATTAAGAGAAAAGGAAAAATAACAATTAGCAGTTCATTTTCATCGTGGCAAAAAGGCTCCATCTGGTGGTGTCTTCACCCAGAGAAGAAGGTAAGGAGCGGGGATGGGAAACTGCAGATATTAAGTTGGTTAAACTGGTTCACACCAGAAAAGAGTCTTGATCTTGAGATCTGCTCAAGATGGGTGAACAGGTGGCACGATGGTAAAAGAAGTTGTGTGTGGATAAATGCAAAGAAGTACACTGGCAAGAGGACAAATGAGCTAGCTGGGCATTCGGCTGCTCAGAGAGAGGTGGCACAGCCACAAAACCTGAGCATGGACAATCCACTGGAGATCTGTGCCGGTCAGCACAGATAAAACAAATAAAGCAACCAAAACAGATACATATATATATATATATATATATAAAGAGAGAAGAGGAGTATTATAGCAAATATTTTAATGCCTTTCTATTAAGCACAGTCCAGGGCACTCCACCAGGAAAAGGGATACTGCAGAAAGAGTCAGGGTCAAAATGATAAGCACAGAAAGACCCTGATATGGAAATAGGCTAGAAAGGTTGCTCTTCTTATGTTAAATAAGGGATGTAAGATTATGGCTGGTCCTGCTAAGCCTGTGCAGCTGCAAAGAGAAAGGATGCAAGGTGTCCTGTCCGTGCTTGGACAGGACATGCAGTAACAAGCTTAAACTGCAGCAAGGGAGAGAAGTTGAGGGAAAAAAAAAAAATATATATCTGAAGGTAAAGATTAATGTAGGAATCGGCAATATGGGGAGGCAATACTGGAGGGCTTTAAAACCAGGTTAGATAGCTGTGTGTCAGGAACACCTGTGCTGCAGATGGGCTGCTCTGAGGGGCTCTGCCCCCCTTGGGCTCTCGCGGTGGGTGACACCAGGCGGGGCTGCGGGCGAGCCGGGCTCTGCCCCGGTTCGGTGATCCCTGAGTCAGAGCTCTGTCAGCTGTGGTCGCTCGGCTCGTTTCGCGGTAGCAACACCAGGCAAGTTCCCTGCTCCAGCCATCGGGGAGATGCCCCAGAGGGCAGGGGGGCTCAGCCTGCTCAGGGCTACAATACTGCGACTCCCCTTGTCCCATTCTCCAGCCCAGAAGAGCTCTGTCTGCATTAGGAGAGGAGCCCAGACATAGGACCCGCTGCTCATTTCCTACCTCCAAGGTCCCTCTGGCTCCCTCCCCAGCTGGCTGACCTGCTCTAGGAGGTGAGTGATGCTAGAAAAGGATGAGTTTGGCTTAGACAGGGCCAGTCATGGTTTCAAGCCTTACAGGGTCACCTGGAGTAAAAAGAACAGCGCTAAACCACGAGGTCCATGCTGGGATGCTCTCCCTGTTTTGCAAAAGTCAGAAAGATTTGAGATGGGAGAATGGAGCCTGCTTCCTTCCCTCCCCCAGAAGTCATGCTCAAGCATTAGTCACAAACAGAACAAGGTGAAGTCACTTCCCAAAGACACTGTGCCCAGAAGAGGCTGGGCCCTGCTGTCTGGGCAGCTATAAAACACTGCATTCCTGTACATGCCCACACCATCCTGCCCAGCTGAGCTCAGAAGGCAAAGAGCTGATGCAGGGATGGGATGTAACTTCAGCGCTTCCCACCGAGAGCAAGGGAGACCAACTGGTCTCACTTGGGCTACTCGTTTGCCAGCATCCAAATCTATCGAATGGAAATTCCCCAGCAGAACTGGAGGGAGGGCAGGCGGGCAGGCTGCATACACCAACCATTAGTCACCCCGCAGCTTTTTAGTGTTTGAAAACCTGCTGGTGCTTCCTAGGTCTGCCAGCACGCAGCCTTTGAGCTCGTGGGGGTGGGGGGTGGGGGGGGTGAGGCTGCACCCCAGCAGCTGCATCAGCCACGGGAGAGCTGCAGGGCTCCAGGTTCAGGCTGCAGCAGGGAGAACCTGCCTGCCAGCACCATCAGGTGTTACCCTCGCTTGTCAGAGGACAGGTAGTCAGCTTGTTTTTTTTAAAAAGGGGTAGGGATGCTTGTTAAAAGGAAAGAGAAGGCTCAGGAACAGAAGGAAGGTGAAAGCAAGCCCCACGCGGGCTAATGCTGGCTTGCCCCTCCAGTGACTTACAGACAACACTTGCAGCAGCCAAGGCTGCAATCCCTCTTCAAATGCAGGCAGGGTTTGGGCTAGAGCCATCAGCGAAGGGGGAGCTCTGCACCCGCCCCAGGGAGCGGATGAGACCCTCGCACACGCACTCACTGGCATTATCACACCACCTCTGTGAGCCCAGAGGAGGCTGTTCTGCCTCACTGCTGCATGCCGGGAGCGTCACAGTGATGCTCTGTCCTCAGCAGCTAAGTGAGGCATAAAACAAACAACAGAGTTGAACCTTCCCCCCTCCCACTGCTTCTCTCCATAGCTCCCCAGGGGTGTCTGCACAGATGGCAGAGACCCTAGGCCCTGTGGTGGGAGGGTCACAGGTCCAAGCTGCTCTCTCTCTCGGAGGTTCCTTGAATCCCCCCTCTCTTGGGGGACGTCAATGCAGAGCAGAGATTTGAGAGAGCGCTTGGCCAGACCCCCCCCCAGCCTCTGCCCCCGTCTCAGTTAGGGCCTGAAGAAGCGTTGTACCACTAAATGCCCCACCATGACCAGGGCCACCACCACCAGCATGTACTTCATGTAAACATTGTCCAGCTCGAGTGCAGCCACCTAACGAGAAACAGAGAATAACCAGAGCACGTTAGATCTGCCCGGGCCAGGTTGCTTTTCTCCCTACACCCGGGTCACCCCACCAGCGCCAGAGCCCCCAGGCTGCACCTCTCACCGGCCGGAGCAGCGCTGCCTCCCCTCGCCCCCGAATCCCCCCCGGGACGGCCCCGCGCTCCCGCTGGCTCACCCATCCTCCTTGCTGGGCGATCCACTGGGCGATGCGGTTTCGGAGCATGAATTCCGCGACGTAGCGGGCGATCCGGCGGAGGAAACCCGGTATGCCGTGCTGGTAGACGTGGATGGCCATGCGGTAGCCAAAACCCAGCAGCGCAATCACCCGGCCCCAGTTAATGCCGCTCTCGAACAAGCTGAAACGAAGCCGATGGTCTGATTAAATCACTGCTGTGGCTGGCCCAGAGCTCGCTGGTCTCTGCACCCCAGGCCGCGGGCTCCCGAGCAGTGCCGGTTGCAGAGCAGGGCTGGGGATGCCGTGCTAGTCCTCGAGGTGCATCCCAGCTGCACAGGCAACATCATTTTGTGGCTAAATGACACGTGGCTGCCCATAACCAGGGTGTGCTTTCAGAGCAGAATAAACATGGTCTTGGTCAAAACCACCATTTGCCTCAGCTAGGTGGGTGAGGGATGTCCTAGGGAAAAGGAAATTACCAAATCCTGTCTACACAGCTCCAGGCTCTGAATTGCTGGAGGGGAAGCTTTGCAATGGTGTTTGTTGACCTGCCACCTTCCTGCTTGTCCTGCCTTTCCTTCAGGTCTCCACCTGAGTGCAGGGCACATCAGCTGCCTGGAGGTCCTGGGTTTTCACAGGCAAAGGTATTAAAGCAGGTTAAGCTGGAACTGGTGGTGGTTTAAGCTGTCAGGCTGTGGGCTGCCGCGAGCTCAGCAGCTGCTGTGCTGCAGCCCGGAGCAGGAGCTACCACCCCCCCACCCCCCACCCCAAAGCATCCCTTGCTTGTGCAATCACACCTGAAGGTAAGGAAGTTTAATTATATCTAAGGACAAAGCATGTTAGAACAGGATTTTCCCTTTTCCTCCACAGACAAACCGTTCCAAGGCCAAAAATCTGATCTTTCCTTAAGACTGATGCTCCCAAGGTTTCGGAAGGCTCCAAAATGTGCCTACTCGATGCCTACTGCTCCTGACACAGGTTTTGGTTGCTGTGGGCACAAACGGCATCACTGCACTGACCAGTTTTTGAAGTTGTTTTTCCTAATTTCCAGCAAGGCAAGCAAGAAGGGTAAAAAAAGTAAACGGAGTAGATTCAGGCCCCGTGTTTTAATCTGGTGCCCTGTCCTGGTAGTCTCTGCACAGTCGAAGGGAACAGTTTTCTCTGCAGAGCATTGGCGTGGAGCTGTCACCGTGCAGGTCGCAGAGGGAGAGGGAAGTTAGAGCCCGGGAAGAAACAACAGAGAAACAGGTAGCACAAAGAGAGGGACAGAGGTTAATTTACCTGTTCGCGGTGCGTTAACCGCCTCAGGCTGGCAAAGTGGTGAAAACAGCGCAGCGTGGCTTCCCAAGGACAGGGGAGCAGGAAAAGGACAGAAGAGAGGCAGTTAGACAACAAACACCGAGCGGAGGGGACGCAGGGACAGGGCTGCTGCAGCCAGGGGTGCTCAGAGGAGCCCGGGACCCCAGAGACCCCGGCTTCTCTCCTGGCTCTGCCAGGGGTCTTCGGCATGACCCCGGGCAAACCATTTAATGCGCACAGTGTCTTGGTTTCTCTACAGAGAGGGGTGAGGGCTGAACCCCTAGACGGCCACCTCGATCCAAGCCTGTACCTCAGGCAGTTGTACCTGTACCCAGGCGTTGGCTGCGCTTTGAGCGGGTGAGCTGGGCGAGGCGGCTGCCGGCTCTGCAAGCCTCCGGAGCATCCCCCGTCCTGAGTTAACCCCATCCCGGTCCACGTGGACCGTGCCAAGGGCGGCGAGTACCTGCCCATCCCCACGGCCTGCGGCTGCATTTGCTTTGTGCCTCCGAAAGCCTGACTCCCCAGGACTTCCCCGCCATCAAGCAAGCAGCAATGGGACCAGCAGCAAGACTGCCGTGGTCCAGGGCTGGTCACAGCCCTGAAGGGGAGCTGGGATGGTCACTTGGCTACTGATGCACGGGCCACACTTCCCAGCTGCACACCCCCCAAACTTTCTGACCCCTGTCAGCTTGTGCAAGGACTGTGAGATGTTTAGTCAGGTGGAGACTGTCCAAACAGTGCACGGGAGGAAGAGCAGACAGGCAGAAAGCACAGCAACCGTCATGGTGAGCTTGTTGGGGGCTCAGCCCAGGGATGGTGGGTGAAGCTTGAATGGACGGGGTCTGTGTGCTGGGGCAGAGCCGGGCAGGCAGCTGCTCTGGGGTGGGGGCAAGGGTTTAACCGAGTGCATTGCACCCCATCTGACCTCTCCTTCCCTGGCCTTCTCCAGGAAAAGGTGTCCAGCCCACGCCGAGGGAGCCGGTGGCCTTACCTGGAGGCTATTCTGGTGAAGTACTCATAGGCGTTCTCCTTGGTGGGCTGCAAGGATTTCAGCATGTAGCGAAACTCCGCATCGTACCGCTCGTTAATGTCATCACCGATGATGGCCAGGCGCCTTCCCACCAGGCTCCCGGTGCTGCCCGGAGGGAAGACGGCATTACGGACAGGTCAGTGGGACCGGGGGGGGGGTCTGTAATGGAGCCTGGCGAGGGATGGGGCTGAGGGACGCGCGTGTGGTTGGTACCAGTTTTACCTGCCCAGCTCCTGCTGGATCTCCACGATCTCTGGGTCCATGGGCACCTCCTCCCCTCTCTCCTCTCTCTCCTGTTGGTAGCGGTAGAAGGCATAGCTCCGAAACACCTCCTCCGTCTCCTCTGCCACCTGATCTTCTGAGAGGGACAAGAGGAAGAAAAGTCAAGGGAGAAGTTCATCTTCCTCCTTTCCCAAGTTGGAAAGAGACCATTCCCTCATTTTCAGCCTAAATTTTGCTGTTCGTATTAACACTGCCCTTTTGTAGTAAAACAAAAAGAATCCAATATAAATTGGTTCTCAGAAAACTAACTTCGAAGCCGGTCTTTGTTCGCAGGGGCACAGGCCCACCTTTTGAATCCATTTTTGGCAAGAGACAGCTACAAGACTGTCACAACACAAACCAGATGTTCAAGTGCTTGTGCTTGGCAGCTCTCTCTCACCTCTCGATAAGGGCATTGCTCAGCACAAACAGGTTCAGGAATCTCAGATTCAGACCCCAACGGGAGGCAAAGTTCAGTCCAGTGCCGCCCATCAACCCTCAGCAAACAATCTTGTTTTTCAGTGTCACTAATGATCCTGCCCTTGCACGGCATCAGCAACGACATGGTGAGCAAAAGTTAAACTGGTCATTTTAGATAGCTCCTTGCCGATTCAATCACACATCACTGGTCTCACATACACCCACCAGCGGCACTGCCAGGGCAGGGTTTGTAACTTCTGTGTGGGCTGCTGGCAGGAACAGAAAGGAGAGGAGCTTTTGAATAACTCGTAAACTGTAGCCCAGAGAGGTGCCTCCCCGTTTGGTGCTTGAAAGCAGATAAACAGCCAGGTGATAAGTTTGAACTGAATGCCTGCTCCTGCTCCAGCACACCCGTTGTCTCTGTATGAGAGCGGACGCCCAAACCCCCTGCTTTGCTAAAAATCATCCATGGAAGCCAGTAAGCCCCTTGTACAGCAAGTGGGAGGCTGCAGCCGGGCAGGGGGGGAGCCAGGGCTGTCGTGGGGGTGAGCTGAGGCTGGTTTTGGGTGCCACAGCTTCCTTCCCCTGCGCTCGTAAACAAGCAGGGCTCGGCACGCCAGGTATTCGGGGTTCAGCGGGGGAACGTGCCCGTGCGGGAACGTCACCCGGCCCCGACAGCGCGCGAAAACCGACTCGGCTCCGCGCGAGCAGGAAGCGAGTCAGAAACAACCGACGTCGGCCAGCGTGTGCCCGGCTGCAAACGGCTCAGCTCGAGACCCCCCCCACGCACATCCCCGCGCCCACGCTGCTCGGGGAGCAGCGAGGGTCTGGCTGTGGCCAGGACCTGCCCCCTCCGGAGCAGGGAGCCCCCGGCGAGGCGTTTCGGTCCCGTAGGTACCATGGTGACCGATACCTTATCACACGCGTTACACCGCTCCTGGGGAAAGCACCCGGCTTGTCACGGGATGTCTTTGATTAGAGCTCGGTTTCGGCTGGCTCGAGAAGCAATCTGGTCTAGAGCACCAGTTCCCAAACAGCCGGCAGCCCAGCTAAGTCACCCCGCAGGGCTCGGGGGGAGCCGGCCCTAAGGTCCTGCTAACACAGCTCTTGCCAGATTCTTTTCCGAGACGCAAAATTTGTAGGGGACAGAAATAGTGTGGACAGATCAGAGCCCTGCTCCTTTGACAGGGTATCACCATTCAGGGTGGAGATTCACAGACACCAAACGAGGTGCAAAGCCCAGGTGAACGAGCTGCTTGGGGGAACAGCAGAAGCGCAGGACCCTGCAGAGCTGTGGCTTTAGGCGAGCGTCCTGCAAGGCGTGCTGGTGACACGCTGCAGATCAACACGTCTGCACCAGCAACGCTGTCTAGCAGCAGCGCAGCTCACTGCAGCCAACCCAGCTAAAACCTTTTTCCAGCATCCCAGTACATCCACCCACCAGACTGGCCACGCAGTTCTCTGGCCACTGGAAATTGCTTTTCCAATGCAGAGATGGTGCCCGAGCAATGTCCCAGAGCTGGGATGTGGGATCTGGCCTGGTGGACACAGCTGTCCTGGCAACACTGCTCCATAAAACCCTGTATGCAAGCCTCCAAAATACACTGTGCCACTTGTCACAGAGTTTTTTCAGCTGGTCACGTCTACATGGCCCACGTGCGGCTCCGGGGAGATGGGCCCAGCCCTGGATGGGGTGTGGGGAAGGGAGAGGACCTGTTGTGCAGAGACTCAGGTTACACAGAGCTCAGGTTGGGTAAATAAAGGTGAAGGGAAGTGACAAGCCCTGGTCGCTGTGTTTTCAGGGGACTGTTTTTTGTTTTGCGGGAATGGGTTTATTTGGCGGTAAATAAATCCCACCTTTGGAGGAGCCAGCAACCGCTCCACCGAGAGCCCGAAAACGAAACCGACTGACTCACAGTTTCAGTGAGAGGCAGGGTAAACACAGAGCGAGAACAAAAGAGGGAATAAATGTACCAAAAAAAAAAAAAAATATATCCCTGGTTCTAATTACTCCAAGCGCTATTTTTAGTAACACAAGGACAGGCGAATACACAATTTTATCCCCCAGGTGCTAACACACAGCACCCACTGGGACCACCTCTGGGTTTCTTCCACTCGGAAGAAGATGATCTGGATCTAAATTTGCCTTGTGGACTCCCAGTGCCAGGAACAGAGAGGAGGAGAGTGGTTTGGAGCTCCGCTGGGATCCTTGGGCTCCATGTGGGGTCATCGGGGCCATGTTAGGGGGCTCGGGAGCTGCTGTGAGCCCCCACACTGCGAGGGAAAACCTGCTCCGCTTCTGCTTCATGGAACAGCGACCCTGCCATCCCCAGTACACCCTCAGCACCAAGACCAGACCTCCCCATCAGCCTCTTGCCCAGATCCACACCGCAGACAACACTGACCAGACCCCAGCCAGTCTCAAACATGCAACATCTGCATTTCGGTGCAAGATCCTTTATTTTTCACTGTTCCCATCTCCCAGAGAGCAGCTGCGCTCCAGTGACAACTGGCAGGTCTCATCAACGTTATCCATCAGCCCTTGTTACAACTAAATAGCCCTGCTACAGACTGCAATAATGACAGATGCAACCTGGCAGCATCCCTTTCGAGCTCAGGAGACAGGCAGTAACTACGCTGAGAGGTGCATCTGTTTGCACAGAGGGAACCAAGAGCCGTCTCTGGAGATTTCTGCCTCGAGGGGAAGCTCAACTCCACCTCCTTGTAGCCACAATTCAAGTAGGGGATGAGCAGTTATGGATTTGGGTTAGCTTCCACCGGGCAAGGCAGCCCCTTGTGAGACTTATCGCCTGTCAATAGGAATGGCATCCAGGAGCAAAGGCTGATCAACCTGACACTGCATCATGTTGACATAATCCTGCACAGCTTGCACCCGAGAGCAGAGCTTCTAGATAGGCAAAGGGAAAACTGTCACCCCCAGAGGCATCTGCACAGCACAAAGCCCTTCCCCTTATTCTGCTCTTTAGAACAAATATCTTCCCACCTAAAAGATGAGCAATATTCTCAAACAGCCTCCCTGCAGAGCTAATGGGCAAAACACCCTTGGTTTTAAGACAGAAATTCATCTGACAATAAGGGAGATTCTCTGGTCCAGATTCTGGGCTGGACCCAAGAAACCTGCTTTAATTCTTACGTTCAGTGGTGTCCCACCAACACACCCAGTTACAGGCTGGCAGCAGGGGCTGGGGACTGCAGCAAGTTTCTGCTCTGGTACTTCATTGCCCAAGCTGAGACTTGTCCCATATTTGCTAATCTACTGAACTGCAAAGGGAGGCTGGGCCCGGTGGGATGCCCGAGATGGGTGGGCATCTCAGCTCTGGCCACGTATCTCCCTCTTCCCCGTCCAGTTTTTCATAAAAGATTTTTTGGGGCATCTTTTGCAGGACAGAACAAAGGAGTCACAAGGCAATTCCATAGCAGAGTTATTTCCCAGCACAGCCATCAGAAGGATGACCGTTTGTTTTTCTTTTAAAAATCGAAATCACATATTGATGGGAGATGCAGTTCAGTGGGAAGCCCAATACTCTGTGTCTGCGCTGGAGATAGGAACTGCATGGGCACCAGACAAGAGAGAAGTATGTTTAAATAGTTTTGGTTGCTCTACAGAATGTAGGAGAACCCAGGGTTAAACAGGCAGCTTGCATTTTCTCCTACTCATTTTGCAGGTGGTCTTGGCCATGAAGACAAGGAGACGCTCACAAATGCATGACTAACATCCCTGAGCAACTATATATCAGTTCATGACTTGCTTCACATGCAACGTCAAGTCCAGAGCTAAGATAAACAACCAGGGACCAAATCTCACACCTCTTTAGGTATGTTACGTGAGTATTAAACACTCACAGACAGATGAGAAAGCCCAGGTAATCTGAGGAAGACAACAGTTGCCAATCTGACACTGCAAACTGTGAGTCAGGGTGGCTGGGCTTTCCGTGCACAACCCTGACACCCCGGGCATCCTTTCAGAGGCTCGCATCACACCTTTCTCCATTCCCCCAGTAGTAATAAGTGGATATAGCGATACATCACCTTTCTCAAAGTGCTTTGGGATTCCAGCTGACGTGGACCACACAGGAGCTAAGTGTGACCACATAAACAATGTTTGCATCACATGGACTAGCCCCTCTGCAGTGTAGGGGGCTGGGTTGCATTCAGCATGGTTGCCTGCAAGGGTGGGGGACAGCCACGTCCATGGCTCCACGGAATTATCCAAAGCATTCCCGTAGCTGTGTGTGTGCCCCGGCAGCATGTCCGAGCAGGGAGGCACTGCCACCCCCACGTTACAGGTGAGAACTGAAGGAGAGCAAGGCTACTTTGCTGAAGTCTGAGCCCCGTTTCCTGAGCTCAGCTCAGCACTGTTGGTCCTGGGCCTCCCACCCCTCCTTCTGCAATGTTTGCTCCCCTTTGTGTGACTGTTCATGAGCTAAACTGCTCCTCCTCTTCATCACGTACTGTCAGGAGTATGAAGCTCCTGCCTTCATCTACAGTGCCCTAAAACCACCAGAAGTGCAAATTGCCACCCAACCTAGACAGAAACAGCAGCATCTTGTCCATGACCTAAGCAACGGCTGGTAGAACAAGGGCTCAGAATGATGCTTGAGCAAATCCTTGAGCAGCAGATAAATCTCTTCACTCCCTACAGCCTCCAAAGATAAACAAACAGAGCAAGCGAGCCCTAAATGAAAGCCAGGCTTAATATCTGTTGACAAAAGCCTTCTTCCACCCCGTAATCCCATAGCACGTGTTGGTGGAAGCTGCACATTGCTGCTCCTGCTGGAATCCAGAAGGTTTCTGCCCAAGAGGTGTGCAGAGATCCTGCCTCCAAATTCCAGAAGGACCCGCCTGAGTTTTGGGAAGTGGAGGGATACCAGCACTTCCAGTAAGTGTTTGCAAGCATACAGGAAGCGTGACTTTACAACAGTGTGGTTAGAGCTCAGGGCCTGATCCTCCTCTTGCTGGTTTTCACATCATTATCTCATTGGCCTCAACAGGAAATCAGCATACGTAAACAACTGTTCTTATTTATTTTCATACCTTGTAGACTTTGGTAAGGAAAGGACAGGGTATTGTTTCTTCCAGTGTATTCATGCAGGATCTAGCACAAATGGTACTCTGAGATGGAGAGGAGTCCAGGCAATACCAGAGTATAAATAACATTATCAGGCCAATAAAACAGCTCTGAGCTGGATCTGAGCTCAAATACATAAACAGTTAGGTATAGCTTTTAATCTCCGTTATTGACAGAGCTGCAGTGACTCAGCCGTATTTACAAGTCCACCTGCAAAACAGGTTAAGAAGTCACCTGTATCCAACAGCTTTCTGTGCAGCGGCATTTTATCATTTTGGGATGAAACAGAAGCTGAGGTTTTTCCCGGGTTCCTTTCGGCCCCATTCCCAGTTTCACCCATTAGTGTGAAACGCAATTACACAGTCTGCTGGGCTCGGCACACACGAGGAACGGACTGAGCCGCTTCCGAACGTTGGTGAGCTGTAACTTTTTACCGCCGCTGTGCCGAGGCACACGGCAGACCTGACTTCATCCAGCAGCCGATGCAGCAGCACTGAAACCAGCTGCCTGGGACCAGGCGCTGCTCAGCAAGGGGTGTTTTTCTCTGTGTTTTGAACATTAAGCACCTTTCGCTCTCTCGTGCTCAGGGAAGGGGAAGTAAATGAGATCAGGCCCCGGACGTACATCTCGCAGCCAGCCGGGGTGACCTGCCCCATGCCCCAACCCCTCTGGCACCCCCCTATGCCTGCCTCAGCGTACCCCAGTCCAGCAGCTCCCTGCACACTATTTTTCCTGTGCTTTTCAAGCCCCGCTTGCTGCCCACCGCACTAATCCAATGCCAAGCTTCTCCCAAAAGCATTGAGCATGTGCTCTCCCAGTTCAATTCAGCATAGCTTTACGGAAAGGATTTATTATCCCAGTCTTGCAAAGGGCTCTGATGGTATAAAAAAAAACCCCACCATCTTTTCAATTAAACACATCAGGAGAATGGAAAAGAAAAAAAAAAAAAAAAAAAAAAAAGTGTTGAAAATGCTTCCTCCCCTGAATATCACAGCAACCTTTTTACCTGAGTTGAGCTCTTGTGACTGCCTGTGCCCGTTGCTCCCCCGGCGTCCATGGGCCCTCGGTGGGTCACCGCTGTTCCCTGAGGCCATTGCAGAGAGATGCTCGGGAGGATCAGCTTTGCCTGGAAAGACAAGAGACAGTCAATGAACCAAGCTATGAGCAGCGAGCAGGGACGCCGGAGCCTCGCAGCCCCTTTTCTCCTGCACACACCTCCCAGGCCAGCCTCAGGAAGCCCCTTTGGCTCAGCCAAGTGCTCGGAGAAGCAATGCTGCCTGCTTTTATCTCTGCCAGCGACCTGGCTCCTCCCTTCCCGGCACTCACTCCCTGATTCCTGGCCAAGTCCCTTGGCTAGATTTCTCCTCTTCCTAACACTTCTCAATAGCATGTTTGCAGACAGTTATATGCCAGAAAAGGGAAGCCACCTAACTCACCCCACTTCACCACCTCCCCACCCTTGGTGGAAGCCTGCCAACTATCCTCTGACCTGCTCATCCACGGGCTGCACCGGCTCCCACTCAGCCCAGACAACAGCAGCACCTGCACTGACTGACTTCACACTGGGATGAAAGCAAAAAAAAAAAAAACAACAACCTAAAAATCACAGCACAAAGGGCTCTATGACTGCCCCTCCAAGAATGTGTCCGGGAGCTGAGCCGTGGGGCTCTGCTGCTGCCCCGACCTGCAGCCACGATGGTTCAGAGCGTGGCGAGAGCAAACCAACCCACGGCCGCGCCGAGCTGCAGCCTGTTTCTCCCAGCAAGCACCTCCAACTTGTTTTCCACAACTTCTACAAGAGATGAGCCCTCTGTTTTCCTACATACAGAGGCTCGAATTCCTCCTGTTCTTTATGTCTCCTAAGCTTCTCAGAATAAGAAAGTTAAATGACAACCAAACGCAAAGCTCATACTGCCCCTGAACTTCACAGGGTATCCTAAACCCAGGCTGTGGTTTAGGGCGAGCTGCAGTCCTCAGCTTCTTCACCCTTCTGCTCAGTGCACTGACCTCACCCCCTGGTTTTTGTAGAGAAGGAAGCGGGGCCACGCGGTTACCGTCAGGGTTACAGAGAGATCACTGCAGCTCCTGGCCTGCTGCGTGGCATGCCAGTACATGTTCCCCAGCCAGACTTCTACAGGGCTAAACTGAAGGGTGTTTCTGATTTGCACCAGGTCTAAATTCATGAAGACACTTCAACACCCAGAAGTTTAAACTGAATCCTAGGCAAAAATTTTTACAAGTTCTGGTTATAGATAAATATATATCCATGTCAAGATAGATATCTATGTCAAGATTATGCGACGCATGATCCAAGCTTACAACCTCACACTGAAGATTATTCAGAACTAAAAATACATTGAGACCGTAAGCAGTAATGTGAAGTACAGCCTGCAGTCAAGGTGGGGATGGGGGCCTGGAAATGCAAAGCTTACCAGCCTGGCTTAGAAAGTCATCTTATATTTGCATTGCTGCAGTCAGGGACCCTCAGCCGCAGTGACACACAGATGGAGATGCTGTTTTTTCCTACGCGCCTCCGAGGACAGGATTTCCCTTTTGCTCCCCAGCCTCGAAGATCCCCATCCAAGGAAAAGCTGCAAACGTGATGACGATCAGCAGTTGGGACCGAGGGTAGAGCTGGGAGGAGAGCTGGCTCCCCCTCGCCCAGGTCAGCAGAGACCCGAGATCCAGAGCTGCTCCTCTCCTTGCTCTGCTCTGGGCCGTGGTGGAGACAGCTCGGGGACTGCTTGGAGCGGATGCACGTGCCCCGGTCCCCTCCTCCACAGAGGAAACCCTCCCGTGCTTCCTCCGCTGCCATCCCCAGCCCCTCCTCGGGCGCTCAGCAGGGCCGCAGCTGCAGCTCGCCGTGCTCAGGAAGGTCTCGGTGCCTTGCAAGGGGGAGGAAGACCAGACTCGGAGCAGCTCTCTGGAGCGCGTGGGCAAGCGAAGCACTATGAATTTCTACCGGCCTCGACGCTGCTACGACCCGAGGAGGCACTGAGCGCTGGGGAGGATGCGGATACATCCAGCCAAAGAGTTCAGCTGCCTCTGGAGCTTTTACAGCTCGGTCTGTAGGTGCAACTGGTCGTGTTTCACACGCTGCCTCTGTCCCAGACCTCAGCCATGAGTAACAGGGGAGTTTCTGATGCAGACATGACTGCTCGGTGTGAAGGATGGCTGGTGTGCACAGGAGCCCAGAGCCCGAGAAGCAGCTGACTCATGTGATTCTTCACGTTTGCTGTCTGGCAAACCCTTAGGAAGCGGTAGGCTGCGACTGTGGCCGTCATTACAAGGAAGTTTCATTTTCGGTTTCCTTCTCAATATAGTTTCTTGCAGTGCTTTCTTCTCTTGCAACACGGGACACCGCAGCCCTTTTGCACACATGCACGTCTGGCACCGGCAGCTACGTCCCCATCAGCACGCTGCTGGTCCCCACCCTGCTCCCTGGGGAGCACCCGAAACTCCCCCTCCTGCAAACCAAGTGAATGCCCAAGGTAGCTCACTGCCAGTCCGTGCTGGGGGTCAAAGTGCCTCAGACCATCCTCACCAGTATCAGGAGTGCTGCTGCCCACATTCCTCCTGCTTCCCAGCCCAGTGCCCCTTTGATTTGCCCCATTCCTCCGTTGTTATGGGAATACCATGCTGGAAGGGAGCAGGAAGGGGTGTGAAGGAGGATACGACACCCATATGCTTAAAGACAGCCCAAGGCTCCAGAAAATGAAGGCTCTCCAGGACTTCAGACAGGACTCAAGAGAGGGTTTGGAGGAAGTTGCAAGTTACGGGGACCAGTGTCTAAATCAAAAGATTCAGCTCCACCCTGACCTTTTGCTCTTGTAGGAGGCTGCAAAGGGTTAAAAGATGGCACAGGAGTCTTATCTTTATTAATGAGCACATGCCATGCAAAGAATCGGCCTTCCCGGAACCTGCCAACCTTCCCTAATAAAATAAGACCTTTGCCTCAAGTGTTTCTCATTTGACCCTCATCTCCTTTCCTTAAAGGTCTCTGACACATTTCCTGCACGCTCTCATGACATGCTCGCCACTTCTCTCAACTTTTCTCCAAAAGAAAGTGCCTGGGTGCCAGGGAGATGGTGGGACTGGCCCAGAGCAGGAGGCAGAACTGCAGGCTGTGGGAAGGGAGAGGATCTGCACGAGCTGCTGTAATCCCTCTGAACAAGCCTGGCTGTGGGGCTCTGAAGTCACCCCGTGACATATTATGAAGATCCTGTTCCAGGAAATGTGTAGAGCATCCTCTGGGACGAGCATTTCCCAGGTCTGGCCCTGGGCCCGTGCATGGGAGTGATTCCATCGTGCAGCATGCAGGGCAGGAAACCCTCGCCAGGACAGAGAGCCCGCAGGACTCCTGTGCCCCGCTGCCACCCCTGCACGGCCAGCGCCGGATCAGCCCCGCTCCTCCCAGCCTGGCCTGGAAGAGCAAACAGGTGAGTTTGCCCAGTTTGGTGTTTACCCACCCAGTATGGCACCAGGGTCCAGCTGGCCCACGAGCCCCATCACAGCCAGGGTCCCCCCCCCCCCAAAACCCCACGTTGTCCCCGGCACTGCCGGGTGTGATGCCCACAAAGCCACTTGTGCCATGCCCGGGCCTGGGGTCACAGCCCACAGCGGGGTGAGGCAGTTGTCACCCCGCTCCTCGCCGTGACGCAACTCTTCCCACCGACCGCTCACGCAAGCCTGTCCACCCTGAGCCCCTACCCTGAGCGCTGGCACGGGGATGCCGGGAGAGGCTGTCACCACCACGGCCTCACAAGAGGTCAAAAAAATAAAATTAAATAAATAAATAAATAAATAACCAACCTAAACTTGGATTATAAATATTATCAAAGCAGCAATTTTCCCTCTTTGAGGCAACGAGCAGCTCGCAGTGAGACCTGGCCCAGCAGAGTGCTGCTTCTCCGAGGTACGTTGCCCTTGTTCCCCGGGTGGTGCAGGATGAGGCCCCGCGGCTCTGCCGGGACCCCCCGGGGCTCCCGGTGCATCCCAGCACCGCCCGGCCGGGCCCGGTGAATAAAGATAACCCATCCCGGGGTGGGAGAGGGGTGGGGGGGAATGGGGAGGGGGGGAAAGGAGGGGTGTCCCCCCCCCTCGCTACTCACCGCGTCCCGGCGGGGACCAGGCGGGTCGGGGTGTCCCGGGGGGCTAACGCATCCCGGCGGGGAGCTGCTCCATCCCCGCCGCCTCCCTTCCTGCCTCCTCCCCGGAGCGCGGCGCGGGGGAAGGAAGCGAGCAGGGCCGGGGAGGAGGAGGGAAAAGGAGAAGAGAGAGAGAGAGAAAAAAAAAAAAAAAAAAAAAAAAAGCGAGAAACCCAACCCCAGACCATAGATGCAGGCGCGGAGCCGGGCAGGGCTCAGCTCCCTCTAGAGGCACCTTCCCCGGCCGGAGCGTGGGAAAGCGGCTGCGGAGCGGGTCTCTGAGGGGCTGGGGGGGGGCTCAGGGGCTCCTCGGGGGGCTCAGGGGGGCTGGGGCATCGCCTGGCTGCGGTTTTGCTGGGAGCGGGGTTGGGGGGGGGCTGCTCTGCCGAGCTCAGCGGTGCGGGGAGGGCGCAGGACGGCACATCCCAGCGCCCGGCTCGCCACCGTTCCCCGGGGAGTTTGGTGGCTTCTCCGGGGGTTCTCCGGTGATTTTCTGACCTTTTTATTAAGGGTGCGGCTTCTTAGCACGACCGGTTTGCCCTGTGTCAGGTTCCCCAGCAGGTAGGGCCAGGAGCCCTGTTAAAGTCATCATTAGAGCATTTCTGGTGCCTAATAGGAAACTCCTGTGCTGATCCACCAGAACAAAAAAGTCGATGGTGGCAGAGGTGGTTCACATCAAGCAATTTAAGGAATTTGAAATCCGCTGAGATTAGGAAAAATCGCAGTGGCTGGAAGAAAGGGCACGATTTACCCTGGAGAGCAAGATAGCTTCTTCTCTGGAGGTGGCTTTTCGGCTCAGCAAGCTGCTTTTCCTCTCTTGGTTTTTTGGGAGGCTGCCAGGCACTGCTGGTGCTGAAAAATGACACATAAGCAAGGGCTCGGGGCCGGTAGATTCCTGCCTGCTAATTATCAAATTGCTTGTCTGTCCAGTGGTAGGAGCACTGTTCATGCCCTGGGATGACGTGCCCTGGGGGATGCTCCCTGCCTCCGAGCTCAAGAGAGAGATTTTTGAATTCTTGACTTACTTGGCTGAGCTTTGCCAGGGAAAACGGGCCCCTGGCTGCAGAGGGTCCCACGCTGACTCCAGAGATGCCCTCTCCCCTTGGAGGTGGGGGCTGCTGGGGACCTGGCCTTGGCAGGCCTTTCTGATTGACACCAGTGAAAAGCAGGTTGTGGAGGGTGAAGCAAATGGAGAGAGGATGCCTGCAGTGACTGTGGGGGCAAGGGAGATGTGCCTTGGCCAGAGATGGCTTTCAGGGAGGTAAGATTAATCATGGAGCAGAAGGAGGTGAGGAGTCAGCTAATGGAGACTGTCCCCATCAGCCTGGTAGCAAGGGGTCTGCCTTCCTCCCAGTGTGTGCTCACAAAGAAACTCCTGGTCCTGGAGGGGGGGGATTGAGGCCTCACCATCATCCTTAACTCTGCACTGAGCCTTGGGGTGGGTTTTGGAGGTGAATGTAGCAATGGTGGCTGTTTGGGTCTGCGTGTCCCTACTTCTGGGTTATCCCAGTGTCCCTGCTGGTCTGTGCTGGTGGTGGCTGTGCTGGTGCGCAGCCAGTGTGATGTGTGGTCAGGTTTTAAGCTGAATTCTGGCACAGCGGGATGTGCTGACTGCTGCAGGATGAGTCCTGTGCTTCCCTCTGCACGTTACATCAATGTGGGCTGTTCCTGAGTCTCCCCTCCATTTCAGATTTATCATCCCTCAGTATTACTTCATTAAGCAGCAGCATCGGTGAGAACTTTTGCAAAAGCAAATCTCATCTAAAGTCCTTCCTTTTTGCAAACCACTTCTCTTCCACCTCAAATACATTGCATAAGACCTCTGTGGCATGGCTGTAGAAAAACAACTGGGAAAGCGGTACTAGGTGAGCATCAGGTGTATGAAACTCATAGCTGCTTCTAATCGCATTGAGCATCAAAAGGTGTGGCAAATAAACTATGCAGGAGCCTTGGGCAATTCCTCTGTGTCCACAGCAAGTGTAGCAAGGAGCTTGTGGGGACTGAGCTGTGGGTGGGCAGCAGGGACTTGTGCTGCGATGTCTGCAAAAGGCTCTGCTGGAGAGTGCTACAGAGGGGAGAGATAGCAGGGATAAAGCTAAATTAATTTGAAAGCACCAGCTCTGTTATGAGAATGGCCAATATAGACATCAAGAAATGATGGTGGCAAGAAAGTATTTAGGAGATCATTTGATGAGCATCTGAATCCTGCTTGTGGCTCTGGTGCAGGTGGCCGGCCTTGCTATTGCAGTGGGTTTAAGATGTTGGAGCAATAGGGAAGAAATTCCCAACCAGCTCTGTCACATTAGCTTTGCAATTGCTGATGCTGATGTGAAATGTCCCCCGCTTCCATCAGCAGGCCCTTTTGCTGGTGTGAATAAAGGGATGTATTTGCTGGTGTAAATCAGAGATGGATGGCAGCTGCAGAGGACCCTCCGCTTCCAGGGTTCACGCGG